ATACAATGACCTATAATTGAAGGTCATTCAAGGTTACACAAGGTCAATAATGGATAATAATTGAATGTAATGGAAAATAAATTGTTTCAAGGTATTCTTCGAATAATTTCGTGTCTTCTCTTCTTGTTGGTATACCGCTAATCGAATAAGTGTATCACGGTATGTAAATAAACATTGAAGGTCTGTTTAAACAAGGTTAACTGTAATTAAAAATAAATTGTTTGAAGGCATTTTTAGAATATTACACTAATTTAATTATTTGCGTATTTACCGTTACAAAAAGTGTTCAAAATGATCCTGAACATCGACGCATTTTCTGAAACGTGTCGACACAGTAGTTCGATAGTGTTGCGTTTCAAATCTGAAGAAAATTCGGCGCGCAATTAAGAATCTACAAACGTAGTAAATAAATTCACAAGTAATTATATATAGAAGCATCTGAGATCTAGTTTAACCGTTACGGCATTTTCTCATCGGTATTCATTTGGTTTATTTTTTAATTCATTTGTATTTCAATTTTTTAATCGTTTGAAAGTGTTCGATGTTTTTTACAAAATCTATTATGATAGTCTTGTTGTTATGAGGTGGTAAGCAGAAATTTTCGCCTAGATGTAGTAAAGCCTCTTTCGGAATATTAATTTGTCTGAATCTGGCTGAAGTTAACGAACGAACTATCGTTATGTTGTAGAATATTGAATTTAAAGTTTGAATAATTATCGGAAGCCAACAGTCTCACATCAAAAATCATATGCCAATTCTTTTATTCTTGAATTAAATATAAAAATATAATAAAGAAAGAACAGTTTAGCCGATTAATAAATATTACAAGTATGTATGTATATTGTATATTTAAACCGAATAAATTAAATTAAAAGAATTATTTCATTATTCTTAAATGAAAAAATTTTTAAATTCTTTAAAAAATGTAAGTCTAATTTTACAAATTGTTAGATTAAATTAATTAAACATTAAAAATAAAGAAGAATAGTAATTATAATTAAACTAATTATAGCAAAATTAAATATTTCATCACTAGAATCATTAGAATTTATCAATATCAGGGTTTTTTTCCTCAAAATCATACATAATCTACTTATAACACCAATAAAAATTAGAAAGAAATGTTTAATAATATCACATATTTTGCGTGTGTGAAGTTGGCATCTCATCTTTTGGCACCGCAAGTTTTCACACAAGTACCATTGGCACCCGCAATAGTTCTATAGTTCCTGATAGGTTTTAGGACCAGTACCGCTGATTTATTTAAAAAAAATAGCACTTGAAAATTTGAGGTGCTAACTTCCCGTGGCACCGCAAGATTCGAGAAAGTCGATTTTTTTTACGGAATCTTACAGTACTTGAAGAGTACTAGAGTTCCTGATAGAATGTAACAATAGTACCGGCCAGTAAATATTAAAAAAAAAAATTTTAAAAAAGGAGCTAGCACGACAAGTTTTAAAAAAAATAATTTTCTTTGCGCTATTTTTTAGTACTCGAAGAGTACTATAGTTCTTGATAAGTTTTAGTGACACTACCGACTATTTTAATATATATAAACGATCTTTTAATCTGAGAGTTGGCACCGCACGTCAAGAGTAAAGTACCTCTAAACGGCCAGTACTGGCCGACTTTTCGGCTTTTTCCGACAGTACTACAATAGTTCCGAAGAAATATGCAAGTGTCGACCCGAGTACTCTTCGTTTAATATGTTTAAATAATTTTTTAAGTTTTTCGCTGGCACCGCACGTCAAGAGTAAAGTACCCCTAAACGGCCAGTACTGGAAGAGTACTCGGGTCGACACTTGCATATTTCTTCGTTACTCTCGTAGTACTGTCGAAAAAAGCCGAAAAGTCGGCCAGTGCTGGCCGTTTAGGGGTACTTTACTCTTGACGTGCGGTGCCAGCGAAAAACTTAAAAAATTATTTAAACATATTAAACGAAGAGTACTCGGGTCGACACTTGCATATTTCTTCGGAACTATTGTAGTACTGTTGGAAAAAGTCGAAAAGTCGGCCAGTACTGGCCGTTTAGGGGTACTTTACTCTTGACGTGCGGTGCCCGCGAAAAACTTAAAAAATTATTTAAACATATTAAACGAAGAGTACTCGGGTCGACACTTGCATATTTCTTCGGAACTATTGTAGTACTGTCGGGAAAAGCCGAAAAGTCGGCCAGTACTGGCCGTTTAGAGATACTTTACTCTTGACGTGCGGTGCCAACTCTCAGATTAAAAGATCGTTTATATATATTAAAATAGTCGGTAGTGTCACTAAAACTTATCAAGAACTATAGTACTCTTCGAGTACTAAAAAATAGCGCAAAGAAAATGAATTTTTTTAAAACTTGTGGTGCTAGCTCCTTTTTAAAAATTTTTTTTTAATATTTACTGGCTATTACATTCTATCAGGAACTCTAGTACTCTTCAAGTACTGTAAGATTCCGTAAAAAAAAATCGACTTTCTCGAATCTTGCGGTGCCACGGGAAGTTAGCACCTTAAATTTTCAAGTGGTATTTTTTTTAGGTAAATCAGCGGTACTGGTCCTAAAACCTATCAGGAACTATAGAACTATTGCGGGTGCCAATGATACTTGTGTGAAAACTTGCGGTGCCAAAAGATGAGGTGCCAACTTCACACACGCACATATTTTTTCATTACATTTAAAAACAAAAACATTATGAACAGTTTCAACTGAAAGAAAAGTTGTATTCTCAGATCCAAGTTTGAACTTATAAATAATAACCCTCCCCTTGAAGTTGCAATCTGAATATGGAGAAATGGAACGTGGTACCGTTTGCGGTGTATAACTTATTCAATAGATCAGTCTCTCTATTCACCGTGGCTAGCGAGAAAGAGTAAATACATATGATCTCAAAAGAAAAGAAATGAGAAACATGCAAGAGAAACGAGAAAGCAGACTGAAGTGAGAGAAGAATAATAAAAACACATTTCATCCGAAATTAATATGGAAAGCTGCAAAGTACATAAACTGATAAACGTGATCTATATACGGTATTATCTGTACAATATTCTATAGATTCCCGCGTTCCTTTATTCACGAATTCCTTGGTTCATTTCCTGACTTCACGTCGAAGAAAACACGAGACGTCTTACATTCTTTGATATGTAAAATCTAGAAGACTTTGCATTCACGGACTGATAACGAAACGTTTGTCATTCAAGGAGAAACTTACTTAATGTTGAAACCTGTATGTAAATCCGTCTCGTTTCTTAAAACGTATTTTCAATTCTTCGAATATCTTCAGATTTTGACATTTCAAAGAGAAAATATTTTCTCTTTGAAATGGGGCGGAACCTACTGTATTCACGCGTACACTTTACAACATAAAGCGACATGGAAGTTGTGAGCTCATTCGCAGAAGAAGAGGTGGAGTAATATTTAATACGCATAATATTAACTATTGATAGTATACAATAGTCCAGACTATTAGTCTGAATATCTCAAAAATTATAAGAGTCCGCCACCTAGTTGTTAAGACAAGCTGTTCAGAATCATGATCTTGACAATATATGTCAAGGTCAAGGTCATCGGAGCTAGGTCCCCTAAAGTGAACAATTATCATAACATCTATTTTACACAATTCATTTCTTGCAAATTGTTCATTTAATACATCCTTGATTAAAAAAAAAAAATTAAGTAGCAAAATTATGTTCTTTAGTCATCTTGAAAAAAATTTTAGTAAAACTAAAATTCAACAGAATTTTAATTCAAAGCTTTGTTAAAAAGATACACAAAATGTGAAAAACTAAAACGATACGTTCAGAAAGAAATACTATGGAAAGGCTGTGTCCAAATTACGTGTCGGTAATTAAAAGAATGTCCGGTGGTAATATGAACACGCGCTATCCTCTAGATAGTAAAATAATTTGTGTAGCGTTTTACATTATTCACACCATATATTATCACGAAACTTGCAAGTTGCATGCAAACAATATCTCACGCTATCTCTCTAAATAAAAAAGCGAATTACTTTCGTTTATTTACTCGGATTTGTGTACCACGTTTTGATCGCAGTCTTATCGACCGAAATGTTCCAAAATATTTCTGCAATCGATAGCGATAAATTCGTTAGAACAACCAGCTATTATAAATACATTAATATACTCGTAATTGTACTCTTATAATGTCAATGAAGAAACTTTCAACACTTTATATTGTAGTATAAACTCGCACGAAAAGAACAATTTTGCGAAAGTATCAAAAAATTCAGCTAGATACAGATTCGAAAACAATTTTGTTGGACCATCAAAATAGTTACGTAGAAATCTCAAGCTTAACAAGCAGTACTGCACAAAGTTTTGACATTCTAGCAACTAGTTTGAACATTCTGTATAATAATTTTAATAATCCACACAAAACTATTTTCAAATTCATACTTAGCTAAACTTTTAAATACTTCAGAAAAATTGTTACTTCTGCACACTTCCGCAGTGTCTTTGAAATTGCTTAATTGCTATTTATTTTAACATTTTGATAAATTATTATTCCAGTCAACTGATCATCTTTCCAGTATTTATCAATCAATGTTAATAAAAAAAAAAAAAAGATTAAAAATTAATTTTTTACACGTCAAACACACAAAATGAATATTCGATACATTCCTTGTTTAATATTAAATTAATCACTAAACAAGGATTAGCATAAATATTTAAATCTTGTGGGAATTGATAATAAAAATTAATGTCTAATAAATCAAATTTGTTCGTATTTAATGCTCGATCGATGTATTTAAAAATAAGTTTACGTTTCTTTTCACATTCCTTTTTTATGTAAAATCACAATAGAAAAGTTAAAGCTTTGTCATTTTTGAGCTTTGGATGAATTAATACCATTGCACAAGCACACAAATGTGATTTCGGTCGACACGGCTCTAAAAGAGGTCGAAAGTCGCGAAGTCCATAAACGTGCGGAATTTTCACATTCTTCGGTTGCGTCGAATCTACTTTGTGGAATTGGGTAACTTTACAAAGGTACTCACCGGAACAGCAGGAAGCCCAGACCTGTAACCGCGGCTCGTCGAACGTCATCGTTAACATCAGAGACCTGTTACAACAAAAAGAGATCGCGGATTCAATATTTCACCAGAAATTCAATCTGCTTTCTCTTTTGATTTGAAATCGGCAGAAAACCATTTGTTTTTCGAATTCAATCAAAATTAGTATATAAAATCGAAAAAATTTATTCCAATTTATACACAGGGTGTACAAATGTGAATAAGTGTCAAATATTCCAGAGACGTATATTCCCATCGACCAAGTATAATATTTAAAAAAGATCACATGTCTAAAAACGCTTTTGAGGTAAGAGGAATTTTATTGTTTAACAGTATCAATTAAAACAATTGAAAATTAAACATTACTAGATCCATGTTTAGATGAACTTTTTTCAATGTTTAATCGGAAATAAATTTCTTAGAATTTTGATACTTTCACTCTGTATATGCAACGTAAGCAATAATTTAAAGTGTTTCTCAAAGGTTTCTCATCTTTTATCTAAACAGTATAAATAATATAACACGTGATACCTTTATCTAGAACCGATCTTAAAAGAAAACGCGCTCAAAAATATTTGAATACATTACTGTATGCACAAAAAATCATTAATAAAATAATAAAATAAAATCTATGTAAAATATTAAAGTAGATAACAACAAAATTAGAATATATAGATTAGAAATAACAAGAATCAAATAAATTTTTTTTTAAATAAAGAAAAATAAAATACTAATTAAATTGTTAAAAATATAAAATCTACGAAGTGTATATGTATTGAATACACTTACGGCAACGTGCAGGAGTTTGCGAATGGCCTGATTGTTTCCAGTGCCACAATAGGCCATCGCTAGAGTGTACATGCCGCTTCTACGCAGGATCGGATCCTTGTCGGCGCACAGAGATGTCACCAGGGGATCGGCCTCCTCGAGACGACCGTACATTGTAAAGGCGATGCCGACCGCCAAACCACGTAAAATCTTCTCATGTTGCGTCTCTTGGGCATACTAAGAAAGCAAAAGCCTCTCGTTAGAAACTCGATAATCAGATAAATCTCAAATCAGAAATATCTTCTCTTTACATTATCCTCAATAAACACAGAGAAGAAACTGAACAGTATTTTTCCTGTCTCGCATTAACGTCCGATGGCTGCGTGCCCATAAGTACACAGTTGTATCATGTAGTATTTATTTTAGGAGTTAGAAATTATTTTATTAATCAAAATAAAATAATATGATAAGTGTTTATACTTAAGTATGTTTATGTTTAAAAATTTTGCTTTGTTAACAAATTATTCTTATTCAGTTATCTAAATTAAAATTTAATTTTGATATTCTAAGATAGAAAATTTAAACACACACGCACATGCACACGCACGCACACACGAAATAGTTGCAAATTAATATTTTTCAATTCTCGTGCAAAAAAATGTTTCATCTCCGAGAGAAAACTTTCTCTCACAAATGTAAATTCTTTTTTAGTTTTTGAAAGTTTTATTCCGTCGAGTTATACACTTTTAAAGTTGAATGATCAGCATTTATTTCGCATAGATTTGCAATTAATGCAGGTTACTTTTGGCAGAAGATCGAGATATACCTTTGTGTTTATTTAATCACAGCAGCTAGGATACATTATGGAACCCGTAATAGGTAATTCGATTAAACCGACCGACTAGTAGCAAGTTATGATTCGTTTAGCATCGACCTGCTACTGCTTGCCGCGGTGGTCGGCAGCGACGAAAGTTAAAGCTCGTTTCAACCGCGTGCAAAACTACTTTCAGCAAAAAAAATATAGAAACTAAAATGCGATCACGGTTTTGGGAGACATGGAGAGAAAAACTTTACAGATTAATGTGCGAATAGCGTGAGAAAAAACACAGCAAGATTGTGTCTTTATTGACCATTCCTAAAGAAAATAGAATCTTTATCTAAATCGTTTAACATTAAAGAAACACATACTAGTTTTTTTAAAAACATGTAATTCAATTATAAAAAATTATAATAAAATCTTTTAAGGAGGTTCTCCAATCTTAAAAAAGTGGAGGGGATGTCGTATAACTTCTCTTATCTTTTGACATAGAAGCACACAGGATATAGAAAATATCATTGCCATCTTTTAAGAAATAAATAATAAATAAAATTTAAGCAATAAATCTATAATTTGTTATTAAAAAATATATTTTATTATGAAAATATATATTCGTGTAAAAAATGCTGAAGAAAAATAATTATTTAATCTGATAGAAACATGGCAACAGAATACTTATTCAGTAGTTGTGGTAACACTAAAGAGAATAAAGAACAGAACTATATCTAATCAAGCAAAAATGTCGCAAAAAGATATAAAGATCGGTTTATTACCGAAAAATAATGCTAAAAAGAAAGCGATGGAAAAAGAAGAAAGTGACTTATTTTCCGTGAAAGAATGATTAATCGATTATAGAGATTGTGTCACGTTATATGATTTCATATAAATTTTACATAAAGATGATGTGGTAAAATTTCAATTTTTTATTTTAAAATGTTCTTTAAACTCCATTACTTTATATGAATATAGTTTTTCAATTTGCTTGTATTTCATTTTCGAATAAATTACTTAAAACCCTCTATCTCATAAGAATGTAAGGTATTTTAGAAAATTATTTAAAGGAAACTATACGGTAAACAAATTTTTTTTAATTCAAGAATGCCTCTATTTTTATAACAAACTTATTCTCCAAATTTGATCAAATTCCTATATTTTGTCAAATGATCTCTTTAAAACAATATTTGATATCAAAATTAACATACAACTTTCAATGAAATATTCAGCATTAAAATACTTTAAATAATTTAAAATTACATTTCAGATTATCTTTTAATCTTTCAATCATCACGATTATTGTAAAATCATAAGCTGTCATTCCAGTAAATATTAACATCCAACTGTAATCATCAAAGATATTAATTGGATTAATTAATAATCTCTTTTCGAAACGACACATGTACTAATTGATACTTATTAATCGATATCATCTTATCAAACACACAGTGTAAATATTTGTCAGCAAGCTATAAAAGAATCGTCAATGAAATGACGACGGAAAATTTAACGGATCTTATTAACCGTGAAGATGACTTCGCCAGCGATTGCAATTTGTGTGTGACCAATAATTATTCTCAAATTTCATCGTTGTGAATTCATAAAAAAATATTTCTTAATGTTGTATACATATATACATTAATTTTTTTACATATTTATAAAAAAATATTATACATAATTGCTCATTCGCGGAGAAAAATATTCTTTCTCGCATCTTCGTATGTTAAAAAATAATTATTCCTCGTACACACTGGAAAAAATTACTAAATCTAAATACATTTTTTTTTCACCATAGCTAAATATTTAGTCAGTAACGAAATTAAAGTTAAAATAAATTATTCTTGTACCCTAAATAAATATATGTTTACATTTCGTAAATATAGTTATGCTCATTGTTAGTTACAGTAAGTTAAACTAAAATTAAAGTTAATTTTACATTGATGGAATCAGATCTTAATATTCAAATAAATATTTATTAAAATTTAGTAATTTTTTCAGTACAGTTACTATTAATAATAGAAAGTTTATACCTGACTCTATAAAAAAGATATATTCTCTTCAATTTTGCATAAATCTATAACGCATTTAATTTTATCTTGAAAAATCATTTTAGATTCATGTACTTTTGCCTGCAGTATATCCTATTTTATTGGCGTTCGCATTACATTCAAATTACACGCTCTTCGCCGATGAACGTGGGATGTTATACATAATCGACACCAACGAATCAGTACTTACACAAGCAGAATATGAGGAGATCAGCAATGTCGCCTTTCAAACTCAATTTCTGTTATACACTCGGTAAATATGTCTAAAATGCTGATGAAAAAATGCAACAAAGATTCTAATGTAAAACCGATTCTTCTCCTTAGAAATAATCGAAAAGTCGGAGAGCCACTGATCATTAATGATAATGACAGTGTGGAAAAAAGTTCTTGGAATCCTACTCATCCTACTCGTATTATCACTCATGGATGGCGAGGAAACATAGAAGCTAAATCTGCTTGTACCTTGATTCGAGACGGTAGGATGCTATCAATCTTAATAGCTTAAATACTTGAATTCTTACTGTTTCCAAGATTGATCAATCTATAAGAGGAATATATTTTTGTTATTAAACGAACATATGAATCCTAGAAGAAAATAAAAAAAAAGTAATAACAAAATAACTTTAGTTTTAAAAACTAAAATTTTTTGTTATTAGTTTTATTTTATTCGAAAATTTTCCAAATTCAATTATATGTTTCTAATCTATATAAAACTATTTAAAAAACAAAAATAAAATATTATCGTTAAATTTATCGCTTCCGAATTTTGTCAGATATATAAAACACAGGTTAAATATATTTTTTTCAGAAAACGCTATTTTTTAAATTATTCCCTGCGCACAATAATCAGAACCTATATGTTACAGTTACGAATTATAATATAATCTTCTGCCTCTTTACTTTTCAGCTTTAAATTTCTAAATTCTTAACCTTTGTAAATTCTTTAAATTTAATTTTCTCTGATTTCCTGATTCCTTAATACAAAATCTCTTTTATTTCTTTCTGCTCGTTACTTTCAATTATTTGATCCTTCTGGATTCCTTAAATTCTCAAATATAATTTGAATTTCTGAACTCCCAGATTCCACGCGTCGTTCTAGTGCTCCGTGTTTTGGGAACTAATTTCTACGTTATTAATATTTTTTCTTTGTTATTCTCAGCTTATCTTAGCATTGGCGATTATAACGTTATTCTGATCGACTGGAGCAAGGCAGCTGGATCTTTCTGGTACTGGAAAGTCGTGAGGAGTGTGCCAATAGTAGCGGAACGCGTGACACAATTAATAGATTTTCTACAGAGCCAAGCTGGTTTAGATCCTGCCAAGACTAAAGTAGTAGGACATTCTCTGGGAGGGCACGTCGTTAGTCTCGCCGCTCGTAATGCAAATGGCGATATCGCTGAGGCGGTGGGTAAGTCCAATAAATATCATTTACAAGAAAAAAAAGTTTTAAAATAAATAATAATATAATTAAGATCTTTTAAAACCTTTAAAAAAATTAAAAAAAAAAAAACATTAATTTTCTTTAAAAAAAAAAAAAAAAAAAAAAGAAAAAACTGTAAAAGCAAAATAATGACAACAACAATAAATGAAAACAAAACAAAGAAGTTTTTCAAAATATTGGCTTTCTCTGTTAATTCTTGCTAAAAATCTCTCGATTCGAGAAACGATAAAATAGAATTCAATTTGCAGCTTTAGATCCCGCAAAACCTTTGTTCGACTCGAAAGGACCGGGAGAAAGAGTAGATCGATCAGATGCAGCTCGGGTGCAGGTAATTCACACGAGTATTCTAGGTTTGGAAGAACCAATTGGTGATGCAGACTTTTACCCTAATGGTGGTAAAAGCCAGCCGGGATGCGGCATAATTGGTAAATAAAGCTCGCTATCAAATGCTGAAATCAACATCACTTACTCATTGATTAACGCGTTAATTAATTTACAGCACTCGCATGCGCGCACTCGCGGTCTTACGAGTACTACGCTGAGTCCATTTTGAATCCCACGGGTTTTCGCGTCGGAAAGGTGTTCATGGGTGGACCATTCCTCGATCCAAAGTGAATACAACGTCATCATAATATAAATAGTCACTTTTGAAATGCACAGCATCATCCATTATCCACTCGTGCAAGTTGGCCGAGAAGTTAATTGATTCATTTATTATTTGTAACATTTTCAGCGCATGTGGAGAATATATTCTGGAGACTGCCGAAAAATCGCCGTTCGGACTCGGATAATGGAGCAATAGACACTATTGTTATTTATTTTTAAATTATATTATATATATATAACCTTAAATTATATATAATATATATCCTTAAATTATACAATATATAACAACATATATGATATAAAATAATAAATTTTTTACAAACATTTAGAATCCTTTTGAATGATTTAACATGGAATAATTAACATTTTATTCATGATTCAATACATAGTTAGTTTCCCTCCAAAAATGTTTAATAAAACTCATTTATATAAAAAATAATAAAATTTTCAAATAATATTTTATACCAAAGCAAATATATTTACAATAAATTGTATGTAAAATTTAAAAAAAAATTCAATATCAAACATTTTAAGATAACTAAAATTACACACATTTCAGATTACAAATATTTTAATCAAGATTATCATCAATTGCAAGTTATATTTTCTGTAAATATACAAGATATCCCAAAATTCGCGAATTAAAATATCATAGTAAAAAAGTCTTCAAAGAATAAGTTATCAAAGCATTTATCATTTATCCTTCCAAGCAGTAATTTTTGAGGCATAAATGTTAAAAACTATTACTCGGAACGTTAAGTGGAGAACACTTTATACCTTAGTGTTTATGAATTCTACATTACCAATTCTACATTACGTTTAAACTACCCTGTTTAACTGTAATCTATAATTGGTTTCCAACTTTTAAAAGGCTTCATTTAACTGTAATCTATAATAATTGACTGTTTTAACCTTATGTTTATACAAAAAATACTGCTCGGAACAATGAATGGTCAATTCTTTCATAACTTATTTTTTCGAGAACCTTCTTGCTGTATTTTGATTCGTGAATTTTAGAACATCCTGTATGTTAACATCCAATTATAATCATAAAACGTCTTGGAATAATTAATCTTCTTTTGAAATAACACGTACACGGTAATTGATTCTTGTTAATCATTGTCTTATCAAATACATTGTGTGAAATATCCGTTGATAACTTTAGAAAAGAATCGTTCACAAAACGAAATTCTTCAACGGATGGTGTCGACTACTCCAGGAGATGACTTCGTCAACAATTGCAATCCGTATGTAAAAAATTATTTTTAAAACTGATTAAATAATAAAATATCATATAATAATTACAAGGCTCATATGAATAAATCCAAAAGAAACGATAAAATGCCAATGTGAGCCGACACTAGTTGTCAGTGTGTATTCTTTGTATATAAAATTGTATTCAATAATAAACAATAAAAACATATTTACGTAAATAAAAACGTACAATAAAATTTTCGAGAAAAACAAATGTCAAGATTTTAGAATTTGTAATAATGAAAGAAAAATTATCTTTAGAGTGCATACAAATCTACAATGTATTTAATTCCATGTTCGTAAAATATTTTAAATTAACAAATGCCTTCTATTTGTAGTATATCCCTCTTTATTGGCATCTATTGCGACAAATTTTAACTACGCGAACGATATCAACAATAATAGGACACTAATTGTGAACGATATCAACGAATCTGAATTCGTATTTAAAAAAATCAAAACAATCTACAAAGACGTACAAAAAACCACCTTCCATTTGTACACTCGGTAAGTATAGTATATCTTAAATACTATGCCGCAATATCGTATCATTAATTATATTTCCACATTAAACTCTTCCTCTTTAGAAATAATCCAATAATTGGACAACAACTATTCATCGATGATCTACATAGGATCAAGAAGAGTTTTTGGAATCCTAATCATCCTACTCGACTGATCATTCATGGATGGAAAGGAAACTGCGAGTCAACTGTTTGCACAGAGATTCGAGACGGTATTGAATCATTATTTGTAAATCTTAATTGCATGTGAATCTTTTCCCCCCCCCCCCCCCCCCCCCCCCTCTCTCTCTCTCTCTCTCTCTCTATCTTTTATATTTTTTATCTTTTAAATTTATCTCATTTAATTTTCAAATAAGCAACTTAATTTTCATATTTGATATCATTATATTATATTTAAGTATGAATTATTTTAGTGTCTCGAGTCATGATGATTAATTTATATTTTAACAATGTTATCACGTCAATATCCTTAGCTTATCTCCAAATTGGCGATTACAATATCATCCTAATCGACTGGCGGGCAACAGCTAATCATTTGTATGCAAAGTCCGCGAGAAGTGCGCCATTCGTGTCACAATACATAGCCCTTTTGATAGACTTCCTAGAGAACAATGCAAGTCTCGATCCCAAAAAAACTGCAATAATCGGATATTCTTTGGGAGGGCATATCGCCGGTCTCAGCGCTCGTTTTGCGACTAGCAAGATTAGAGAGGTAGTTGGTAAGTCAAATGATAAGCTTTTGATTCCCTATTTATCTATCTTGATCCTAAATTATATTAAAACGAATTTCTCTGATTTACAGCTTTAGATCCTGCAGGACCTTATTTCGAGTCCAGAGAATCAGAAGAAAGAGTGGACAAGACGGACGCGATTCTAGTACAAGTGATACATACCAGCATAAGATTTATGGGTATAAAATCAGCGATCGGCACTTCCGATTTTTATGTCAATGGCGGCGAGGAGCAACCAGGTTGTGGTCGGATCAGATGGATAGGTAAACAAAGCTTACCAATATCACCCACATAATTAGTTTAAAAAATAAAAAACCATAAACTCCAGTAATTAAGGGGGTAATTATTTTAAAATAATTAATTCCTCCATATTCGTAGGCGATTTAATAGCAATAGCATGCGCACACTTCAGAGCTCTTGAGTACTACATCGAATCCGTCCTGAATCCTAGAAGCTTCCGCGCCGGAAAGGTGTTCATGGGTGGATCATCCCTCGATCCAAAGTGAGTCTTAATATAAACATTTTTTTTCTTTTCAAACAAAGCATGATCCACCTATGTAAGCTAACTGAAACGTTAATTAATTCATCGTTTGTGTCACTTACAGTGCATGTGGAGTATATATTCTAGAGACTGCCGACAAACCACCATTTGCACTCGGTTAACAATATGAATAATAAAACAATAAGCACTATTGTTTATTTAATGTTTTAAAATTATACTCATAGCACATAAGCTTATAGCACTATTGCTGCAATATTTGTAATGTTAGTGCAATTATTGCTGAGATATCGTAAATGCTGCTGCAATATTGCTAGAATAATCTATGCTGCACGGGTATATGTTTTAAAGAATTACGAATACTTTGAATCTCTTTGAATGTTGATAAAATGATAAATATTTCCCTCATGATTCAATACAGTTTCAAGATACTTCCCACTTAGTTGATCTTCAATTATTACTATATTATCATTGTTATCAACAGGAAAACTCAATCATGATATTAAATATCAGAACATTTAAAATTATCAAAACAAAACAATTTATAAAGCAAAACAAGTTAAAAAGAAAAAAGCTCTATAGAAATAGCTAAAAAAAATCTATTTTTTTCCCAAATCTTTTGCCAAATTTGCCTCCACTTTCTTTTTTTACCGATGTTGAATTTTTAAAATAAAATTTTGACGTGATAAATCTCTCTCTCTCTCTCTCTCCCCCCCCCCTCTTTCTCTCTCAAATCTATTTCTCTCTTCATTCACAAATAGCAAATTTTAAATAAATACTTAAAATAGTAAATTCAATACAATAGTTAATAATGGACTCCTCCCCCCCCCCCCCTTATATTTCTATAAAACGAAAAAAATTAAAATCGGCCAAATAGGAGTCAACGCGGTAAGATGTGCACAAATTAATAGAATAAATATTTACTAAGACATACGTAATTACATCAACAATTGAAATTTCCATAATTAAATCGTTTAATATATCCGGACGTTTCGGCTATACATTTTAGCCATCCTCAGCAGAACATTACTACATTCTAGGTAAAAACCGAATTTATGTATCCTGTACAAATGTGAAGGAACCACATTATGTTCAAGACAACATTTGATAAATCAAACATGAATTTTATTGTTATAAATAGATCTTTGATATTTAATCCAGTTCTTAAAAAAATTCACATATACACACTGCCAAAAATATAAAAAATATAATTAAATAAAAATATAAAAAATAAATTTAAAAAAGACGTAAAGTAAAATCGCTTCATTTTCAGCCAAGCGTAAATTCAATAAATAATTAATAATGGACTTCTTATATTTCTATAAAACGCAGAAAATTAAAATCGGCCAAATAGGAATCAGCGCGATAAGATGTACAAATTAATAGAGTAAATATTTACTAACAATAATACGTAATTACATCAACAATTGAAATTTCCATAATTAAGAAATATAAAGAGTCCATTATTAATTACCGTATTAAATTTACGCTTGGCAGAAAATGAAGCGGTTTCATTTTACGTCTATTTTCAATTATATTTTTTATATTTTTGGAAGTGTATATGTGACTCTTTTTAAGAACTGGATTACATATCAAAGATCTATTTATAACAATAAAATTCGTGTTACAGATTTATCAAATGTTGTCTTAAACATAATGTGGTTCCTCCACATTTGTACAGGTTATATAAATTCAGTCCTTACCTAGAATGTAGTAATGTTCTGCTGAGGATGGCTAAACTGTATAGACGAAACGTCCGGATATATTAAACATCGATTTAATTATGGAACTTTCAATTGTCGATTTAATTACGTATTATATGTCTTAGTAAATATCTATTTTATTTATTTGCGCACGTCTTACCACGCTGACTCCTATTTAGCTGATTTTAATTTTCGTCGTTTTATTAAAATAGTAAGTAATAAGAAGTACATCTTTTAAACACTTATTATTAGTATATATAATAATATATTAATAAATATTACTACAAAAATGTTATCTAAATATAAAAAAAATAACGCAAAGGATAAAAACGCTATAAAATTATGCACTAAACTTACCGCAACCATATCTTCGATTGCCTGCGTTGATTTAGATCCCAGCATAACCATTCCCATAGCGATTCCAGCCGCTTCACCAGTCACGGCATCATCTTGATATAAATTGAATTTTAATTGTTCATAAACGTCTTGTCTATGCGAACCCATTGCAGCTAATCCAAGACCGAGGCAGCCACCATGACGAACCATCTGGAACAAGTTCCAAATAATAAATCGCATGAAATTTAATTATTGTACATATTTTGTTAATAAAAGATCTAGTTATATTATTATATACAATTTTACAAATATTTCATGAAAAATAATCAATTATGTATACAAAAATTTAGAAATTTAACGTAAGAAAATGTTCCAAAATAAGTATCAAATACCTCGTTTTGGGCATCTTTCAATTGACCTAGGAGGTAATCTGTGATAGCGGCTCCATGATTAGCATGTATAAGTCCCAAAGCATATAAACCACCACCTTCAGAGTATCCGGCACCAGCGGCACCAGAATCTCTCGGTAAATAAGACTGCATCAAGGCTAAAGCTTCTTGCTCATGACCTCGATGAATAACTCCTAAAGAAGCCGTCGCAGTCAACTTCGCCCAATTAGTAGCACGAGCCAACCATTCCAAATTATCCCTAAAATATAACAAATAAGAATTTCAAAAATTTAAAAATTCTGCAAAAATTTACTTCATATTTTCAATGATTCATTTTGCAATATTTTTAAGATAAAAAATTATAACAAATCAAATTTCTAAAAATTTAAAAACAGTAACATTAAATATTTTATGTATGGTACTATATTCCTATTTAAAAATAAAATTAAATAATTAAACGGTCTAAATCGAGCTAAATGGATTTAATAATTATATTTAGAGGAATAATTTACAATATAAAAAACTAACTAACAAAAAATGTCGTACGTTTCAGGTCCTTCTTCAGCGATTATTACAGATGTTTGAGTCGTCGGATTGATAATAATAAGCGTTATAGACATGCTAATATCTCAATCATAGTTCGGATTGATTTTCCTGTTCTCAATGCAAGTGTACTGTCTGCAGTCAGATAATTAGTTATCGTTAATAAAGATAGTCAATGAGATAAAATAAATTAAAATGAATAATTTAGTCAAAGATAATATTGAATATGATAAATGAATAATTAAATTAAGAATAATACGTCAAGTTTGATGAAAATTGAATATAATAACTTACAAAGCATGTGAGACAGTACCGTCATTACAAGTTCGTCCGATCGCGAGTTGAATGCAGATAAAACGCAAAAATATAATAACGGAAACTCTAAGCACTAATTTGATTGACATTCATTTGTTTGTGTTAGACTCTGTTTTAACAAATAATAATAAGATTCATCTAGATCGTCCGTGTCTTTTTGTGATGCCATTTTTTTGTTTTTTAATATGCAACATTTCTGAAATTCTTCTTTCATAATAGTTGGTTTCAGTATCTGGATTTGTAACTCCTTCCCAATCAAAATTATTTTAATCTATGGTCTAAAATGACGGTATGTCAAGAAGAGTCCGTTATTATATTTTTGCGTTTTATCATTGTAATCAATATAGTATAAAAAAACCTATATATTCATACAATATACATTGGTTTTTTTATATATTGATTAATTTGTTAGAGTCGTTAAACTTGATATTTTATTAATATTTTAAGTTTTTCAAATTTTAATTATCATTGTAATATCTGCATTCAACACGATCGGACGAACTTGTAATGATGGTACTGTCTCACATGCCTTTGTAAGTTATTATATTCAATTTTCATCAAACTTGACATATTATTCTTAATTTAATTATTCATTTCTCAAATTCATCTTTGACTAAATTATTCATTTTAATTTATTTTATCTCATTGACTATCTTTATTAACGACAACTAATTATCTAACTCCAGACAATACACTTGCATTGAGAACAGGAAAATCAATCCGAACTATAATTGAGATATCAGCATGTCTGTAACACTTATAAGAATATTATCAATCCAACGACGCAAATATCTGTAATAATCGCTGAAGAATTACCTGTGAGTCCCGAAACGTACGATATTTTTTGCTAGTTAGTTTTTTATATTGTAAATTATTCTTCTAATTATGATTATTAAATCCATTTAGCTCGATTTAAACCATTTAATTATTTAATTTGCATTGCAAAAAACGAACGAAATTTATTAAAAAATAAAAGTTAAATTAAAAAAACGTTAAATATAAAAAATTAAAAATGCCTAAAAAAGTTCTAAAAATAGGTGCATACCTCAAAAATTGATCGCTAGTTGTCCCAGAATGCATGAAAGCATTCGCAATGACAGTAGCAGTGTGGCAAATTGAAACTCGTATGGCATCCTTGGTGTTTTTCAGGATCAACATATCGGTGTGATTGCTGCGAATCAGGAATTGCAAATGTAAATCGATAGATACCTCGCCGCCCAAAATACTGGACAGAGCATCTACTCGCTCTTGTTGTTCTCTCTCTTCCGCATTCTAGAAAAAAATAAAACATTTTAAATTAATATTCATGAATGTGTGTGTATTATATTAGTATACTTATTAACATAATACAATTATAATTAATACCAAAAAATGCTAATAAACAGACATAATGTCATTTAGTCATTTATAATGACAATTTCATTTTAACATCTTAATTTTATCTATTAAGAGACTAACAAACACACACATAGTAAAAGAGTATTCGCTCTTTTGTGCCAAACATTTGGGTACAAATCCACTCACAAAGAGATGGATACGGCACATAATACATTTCAATTTGTATTTCATAATTTTTGCCATTCCTTGTCAGAATAAATATAAGATTTTATTTGAGTATTATCTCTCAGAAAAAAAGTAATAGCAAACAACAGTACTTTGTCATGACTTCTAATTTGGAACCAGCGTTGAAATTATAGATATCAAAATATCAACAAATGTATGCAAAATACATGTCATCACATCTCTAACAAGAGACTTAAAAAACAAACACACTCACCAAACTTTCGACACTACGTTGAGCCTTTTCTTCTCCGGCAGGAGCAACAGTTTTCTCATCAACGTCCATATTCGTGGACTCTGCACTAGCTTCAGTGGTTTTGGCAGATGTAGTAGCAGATGGTTTAACCACCGGTTTAACCATCAATGCACCCGGAATGGGTGCAGTGGTTCGCAGAGCTTGTAAAACACGACCGAGAAACTGTTGGGTTGCTGACTCATACAGATCGAAGGCAATCTGATAGGCCATCAATACGCAGTCGTGTGAACCCTTGCTTAATCGGTCCAGAAGCTCAGCCACAGCTAGTGGATCGTCCAGGAAGATTAAGTACTGACACATGTTGACATAATCGGGAGTGTCAAGGTTTCGATAGAGACTGACCAAACAGCGGAGTACGGTATTGCGAAATCCACGATTCTGAATCAGGCTCATAGCCACTTGGAAGGCATATGATAACATTCCACTCACGTCGTCCTGAAAGAAAAGGAATTTCATGTTTTACGTATGAATTTAATATCAAACAAATGATTTCACAAATTGTAAATAAATTAGTATAGATTGAATAAAATAACAAAATTATTACAAATTTGGATAGCTCCATGTAAAAATGGTTCAGTTATAATCAATATAATAATTAATAATATTATATAACAACCACAGACGCTCATATTAGCATTATATATATTTATTTTAGGCTCATAAAGTTATTTTTATATAAATTTATTTTAAAAATTCAGAACTGGCATTTTATTTATATTTATATAGTTTTTTTTTATAAAATTTTATACTACCATTCACATTTTATCATTAAATGTAATATTTTGTATATTATGAATTCTTTTACTATTTTATTTTATAATTTTTTTAAGTAGAATAAATGTGATACACCTTGTATATAAAAGAAACTCAATAACAAAATACTTACGGACTGCATAATGGCCGCTTCAAATATATCCATCCTGTGTGTTTCCAGGGCAAGACCTAGAGCTTGACGATATTGATTATCATCTAGGCAGCGTTGGAACATTCTATTCACTATTCCCTCCAGTCTAGGATCAATGCCCTTACTACCTGGTGGAAGTTTTCCTTCTGCCTCTAAGACACGTTGCTGAGTATAATAATCAATACACTTGGCTGAAAAATTTAATAATTAAAAATTAATAGCTTGAAATTAATAGCTTGATTAAATACTGATAATAATTTATATACCAATAGTAGTATCAACATATTCATTTCGAGCATTAACGTCAAATAACTCTCCTGCTCCAAGAGCATAAGTCAGCGAATCCTCAAAACTCCCCAAATGATAATATACTTTGCTAGCAACTAGAGCAGCCAACTCATGTTGTTGGAATGACTTATCTTCATGAAGGATCTCACTATAAATAGGGTATCCATTTAGAATATAAAAATTAACAAACAAGAAACACTAACGCTAAATAAAATCAGTAACAATATAGGTAAATATTTTGTGCTTTAGTACAATACATACATTTTTTCTATAGCTTCAGATATCTCAGGCCAAAATTCGTCGACTATCATATCTAATTTTTTCAAGGCAAAGACTTTCAATTCAGGCATCGGCTCCTCCAACAAGGAGATTATACCAGCTATAAAATTTTCAATTATATTTGAAATAAAAATTATTACCACAAAATTTATATACTATAATAAACATTATGTATTACAAATATACAAAAAATAATAAAATATTAAATAATGTAATTGTATATACTGTATTAAATAATATTAAATAATAAATTTTTATTCTGATCGATAAAATTTGAGAAATTCATTTCGTAATTTTATTTTAATATTACGCCAAAAATGGCTTCGAAATTATCGAAAAGATTTCAAGGTTAAGTTTCGCAAGAATTGCAAATCATTGTGCGAAAATTCGTGCAAACACGATAAAATTCTCACAAGATTCACGAAAGATGAGTACGATTTGAGTATAGAAGATTATTCAACAAATTACCTGCTGAAGTAATATTCATTCTGCTGATTTTCATCGAATGACAGCAAATTACCCAAACTATGAACCCGAACCGAAGCTGAACACAATATACAGTAGCGCAACTCTCCTGATTTTATGAAGTCCAAAATGGAATGCGCATGTTCGAAATGAGTAAATTCCCTAACACAGACCTAGGGAATGCGTTCCGAGTTAACGCATGAATAGAGACCCTCTAATCAGAGTCGCGAAATAACGTTTCCAATTTTGATTGGTGCTGACATTTTTCAGCAACAACCGGAAATAGTCATGGCGTCAAATTTAAGTCGACCTACATTCGCTGCCCATATTGCTCTTTTTTCAGGATTACAAGGAAAGACTTTCATAATATAACCCTTTTTTGCAGAATTATTGCAGTCTGGTGAGGAACAACCAGTCATTTTAGAAAATATAATTTTATGAAATACAGTATTAATATAAATAATATAATAATGTCATTTCTTTCTGATAACTGTATTTAGATTCACATGTATTAGGTGTTAATGTATCACAATCATAGTCTTTTCATTGCAACTGCGATGGTGCTCGTACGTGCAATAGTATTATATTTAATCGCTACTTCCGGTTTTTGCTGAAAAATGGTATCGCCGACCTAACCTTATTGACGTTATTTCGCGACTCTGATTAGAGGGACTCTACTCATGAATAGTGTTCCTATAATAAGAGTTAAGGTTGATTTATACTGGCCGTAAACTGTTAACTTATGCCGTAATCTGTAAAAATTGACCAATCACAGTCGAATGAGAGGGGAATAATCGATTATAATTGGTCAATTTTTACAGATTACAGCATAAGTTAACAGATTATGGCCAGTATAATCCAACCTTTAAGACATACCGCCACCATTAATAGCAAAATTATAGCGGGGAGAACAGACTTTCGCATAACGCATAAAGCATGTGCATAAGGAATTTCATTGGCACATTTTCTTATACATAAATCAATGGACCAATCAAATTCTTTATGTATATGGTTTATGCGTTATGCAAAAGTCTGTGCTCCCCGCTTAAGAATTGACTATGATACCGGCCACGGATCCCGCAGTCCATTCTATATGCTTTGTTAAAAAGAGAGAAAGCGAAGATAGTAAATGCAAAAATTGCAAGCAACGCGAACAGACCTATAATTATGTTATAGTTGGCAACACTGAGTACAGTTTTCTCTCTAGAATGAGAATAGTTTTAGGCACGGAGTAATAATAAAACTCCGTGACATAAATATACTTAACCTATAAGATTCTTCACTTAAGTTTTGTTACGGCGTTATACATAAAGTGTTTGTATAGTTTGCGGTGTGCATAGTGAGAAGTCATTTTAATTTCACGAGATGTCGGAAAAAGCGAAAAACATGAGCCACGTCAAACACATTCCTAAAGATGCTCAAGTCATCATGTCAATCATGAAGGACATGGGAATAACGGATTACGAACCCAAGGTGATCAATCAACTGTTGGAATTTACATATCGTAAGTTTTGTCTTTCTTTTACTATAATTTTATTTTGATCATTTTTAATTAATATTTTTTAACTATTTTATTATTTTAATTCTTGAAATTTATCTAATTAATGGAATTTTCATATAGGATATGTTACATGTATATTGGATGACAGTAAAGTATATGCCAATCATGCTAAAAAGAAGTTTATTGACCTGGATGATGTTAGATTGGCAGTCAAGATGCAGTTGGAACGTTCATTCACAAATCCACCACCTAGAGATGTTCTACTGGATGTGGCACGAACCAAGAACAATATTCCTCTGCCATTTGTCAAACCTAACAATGGACTTAGATTACCACCAGATCGATATTGCTTAAATGCACCAAATTATAGGCTTAAGAATACAACGAAAAAGGTTATTCAGAAGTCTGGACACTCTTTGGTAGGCAATAATCAATCCGGTGGACAGCCAAGATCAAAAATGGATGGAAATAAGACCAGTGTGTCAATTGTTAAGAGACCTGGTACCCTCGCCACTGTTGCAAGAACACAAACAATTTCTATACCAAAACCTATTTTGAAATTTTCCACAGGTAATTGGTTTCTTAATATTCATAATTATTATTCATAATTAATTTCAAGTATAAAGAAATTTGGTCTAAATGAAACAGTAATAAAATGTTTTTATATAATAAATTTTAAGTTTACAATGTTAATATAGCATAAAAATAAAAATATATAAAGAATATAATATAAAAAAAATAATATAATGATATCGAACATTTTGGAACTCACAGGTCCCTTCACAGTGATTCTTGAACATGTTATAATTAATTTACATACATTGTAACATTTGCGTCTAACAGAATTATATGAATACATAAAAATGTTTCTGTTTTCACAAATTTATTACACATTTTCCATACTCACAAATAATAGAATCAATTTATTCGAAACAATTTGTACCACACCATGTCGTTTAGACTGTAAGATTATTATTTCTATGACTTTGTAACATCTTCAAGAATCACTGAGGAGGGTGAGTTCCAAAACATTCGATATCATTATATTATTTTTTTATATTATATTCTTTATATATTTTTATTTTTATGCTGTACTAACACTGAGAAAGCTTGAAATATATTTTATAAAAACATTTTATTTCTGCTTGATTTAGACCAAATTACTTTGCATTGCAAAAAATGAGCGAAATCTAAATATGTTAATTTTATTCTAACATATGTAATTACTTTATTATATTGCTTTAATATAGAAAATAACATGTCCTTTTTCTATTTCCAACATCAGCTTCGTTTCACCTATTACAGTCCCATTACTCCATACCACTCCATATTTCCTTCAGAACTCCAGCAAGTAAGATTTTAATATAAAAAAATACTGTGAAACATGTGTGCATATAGTTATAATTGGTATTACCAGAATTTGTCTAATATTCACTCAAAATTATACTAAAAAATTAAATTACATGAAAATTACACATTTAAGATTCCTATTTATTCATCACTATTATTTCAGATTAGATTGTGCTCAGGAATGAGAAAAAAAAATTCAAATATATAAAATTATATTGTACTTGAATAGAAATGTTCGTTTAATATAGTAACATTTTAATAGAATAGATTTGTAGAATATACCGAAAATCATCTTATTTGAGAAAAAATAGAATTTGTTTCTGTTTAATATTAATTTAATTGTTTGTTACGGTAAAAAAAATCGTTTCGTTTTGATTAGATATGCATATTATTTCTAGATATATATTATAGTTATTTATTGACGAAATAAAAACGGAAAGTTTCAGTGTACTTTTTTTTTTACGTTCTATCAATTATGTTGTTTTATTGAAACTTATTATTAATACATTTTTATTGAACAAAAATTTATTGTCTTGCTTCTGACATTACAATTGTAACATAATAGTGCCGAGTAAACAAAAAAGCCTTAAAATGAAATATAATTGAAAATTTTTTAATTAAATCTTAAAGTTCTGTTTTTTTTAATACGAATGTTTTTGTAGCGACAACAAGTACTACAACGGTAAAAGCACAAGTAACGAAACCGAAGATACAGATTACTTCCAATCAAACATTGCCGACCGTGAAAATGGAAACCGACGAGTCATTGAAAAGAAAACGAGAAGAAGAGGATTACGATATGTCATAATTTTAAGTTCTGAAAGCTACTCTGTTTAATTATTAATACTCTCTAACATTCTGTAATAATTCTATAATCCGTTCTTTGTTAAAATAATACAATAAGAATATACAAAGTCTAATAAAATACAAGATTATATGTATAAAACACACACGTTTATTATTTAAAACTATTTTACGTGTTTATTATTTGAAATTATATTTTATTTATTCATTCTTATCGTTTTCATTTTCTTCTTCATCCTCATCTTCTACGTAATCTTCCAATTTCGATGCATATATATTTTCTTTTTCTTCTTCGATCTTATATTCGCGAATAGTAGCCGCAGATTCAGCTTCTTCTTTTACAGTTTCTTCAACTTTAACTTCCTCTTCTTCCTGTTCTGCTTCTTCTTCTTCTTCATTTTTCTCTTCTTTCTCTGCAATTATCTCTTCTATTTCTTCCGCATGCACCTTTAATATCGCTTCCTCAATTAAATCAGGTTCTTTCGTAATTGGCGGTTCAATTATCTTCTCTACTTCCGGTTCGACAGTTGCTGCTTCGGTGGATAGTATTTTTTCAAGTGTCAGGCTAGGTTTCTTCGGTACGTCTTTCTCTCTAACGCATTTCTTTTGATGTACCGGTAAGAAAAGTTTGAAATCCTCCGGCATTTTGTCCTCTGAATAAAGCCTTAAAAATGCTTTTGCTTAACATTTAATTTGACACATTACTTCGTAAAAAAAACTATTATTAAGACTGGATTATTTAATATTGGGTTGGAGGAAAAGTTATGATTTTTGTGTTAGCTTAAAATTATATATACAATATCTTCGTGAAAAATAAATAAAATTTAAATATAAAGAAAGGTGTTAAAACTTGAAATCTCTACTTTCAAAAGATTACTATATTTTTTGAATTTCTCTGTGAGTTTGATAATTTTTACATAATAAAACTATGAGCTGAAAAAAATTAGCAATTTTCTTTTTACTTTGTGGGTCTTTTAGGTGCCCAAAAAACTTGCAAAAATTTTTGACTAACGTAAAATCTTAAAGTTTTTCCTAAATATACGTTTTTAAAAAATGGTCCTATGATTTTTTGTTCCCGAGTTATTCATCAGTTAAGTAAAGGAACATTTTGTTTTTATAATTGCTCATAACTACGTTAAAAAAACATCATAACGCAATTAAAAAATTAAATTCTTAAAGTTGAAACTTTTATCGAATTGGTATAATAATTAATTATACTAAATACACACAATATATAATTTTGAGCTAATAAAATATCGCAAAACTTTTCGTCCAATCTAATACATATTTAATAAATTGTTTTACATTAACCTATCGGATATCAAAAACCCTATGAAATTTATGATATCTATTAATAAGAAGAGATGAGGTTTAAGTTAATTACATAAAATTAATGAAATGATATATTTTATCGATAATAATATAAAATTTAATTAATAATACATTTAATTAAATTTATTGATTAGAGAATTAATTGATACATGTATTAAATCCTTGCCTATCAGCGAAATAAACTCGTCTGACTCTGCAGTTGGCATGAATTTGTATTCTAGTGGTTTCAATGTAATTTGTACTATAGGCTCGTCGCGTAAAATCAGACAAATTGAATTGAATCTGATTCCATCCACCTGAAAGTCCGATGGGCATGGATGTGGAAAACGGGCGAATGCGTGTCGTAGTCTGAAAATTGCTCACACGAAATCTTCTATGCATATCCTTATCGTCCAATATCTATTTAACAAATTATTATTATAATTAAATTTTTGACATTACAATATGTTGTAAATCTACAAAAGAGTAAGATATGTAGATATGTATATTATGCAAAAAGGAAAAATAGAACATTTTATTTAAGAAGAAAAATTACATAAAATGTTTATTTAAATAACAAAATTTCTAAGTTTTGTTTAAATCTCATCATTTCTTATTCGTAAAGGAAAAAAAACTTTTTATTTATTGAGACGTACAATGTATCTATAAATACATCAAAGAAATCGTGTTTAAAGAAACTTGGAAATCTTATTTATTAAATATACGTATTCAAATGAGCTTTACTGTTATCTCGAACGTGAAATACTTCTTCATATTCTTGATAATGATGATAAGGAAGGGCAGCTTAATACCTAGCGCCTTCTTCGGATACGCTGGACAGTAAATATAAGTTGTAGCCACATTAGTTCCGGCTATTTCCAATGCCAACGACTTTATCTCTTCATCTGTAATTCTTCGTATATATCCGTTTTTTACCTATAAATAATGTGAGTGGTGTAATACAATAAAATTAGGTACACGCGTACATTTCGAACTAAAAATGTTCTCCTTGTTATTAGAAATATTAAAATATTAATTTTTTAAAAATTAAATTTAAAAGTAGAACATGTTTGAAAACTGTAAGACTATATATAAATAGCTACGAATCTTCTCATAATGTTCCTTTTAAATATAATAAAACTAACGTGTACGTCCCATAATTTCAGAGGAGACGACCCGCAACTATACAAAATGGATAAAAATCCGCCCTGATAAATATTTCGAAACATTTATTTATAGAGATATTGACATAAATTTCTTTGGAATTCCGCTTCGTTGATTATTAATTGAAACAAAACTGTGTCATATATAATAATAATAATTATTATTATTATTATTATTATCAATTATTTAACTTCATGCGGTAGAAATACACTTTTGGAATATGGTCAAATTTATTTTTCGATTCTATTAACATAATGGATAAAGTATAAGCACAATATCAGTAATAGAATCGAGTGATGATATAATGCTATAAATAACTGCAATATTTTTATTATAGATTCGAAATAAAAGACATATATAATATAAAAAAGTGTCAGACTTTTTCTATGTGTACGTGACATATGCTATAATATATAAGAGCACTCCGACGACTCAGATTTGCTATATTATCGAACGCAGCTCTTGTACATATGTTATCATAATATGCACTCGATTACATTATAATTTCTAACATTAAAAACTGCTGACTCGAGACCGAGAGTGATACGCCCCTCGCGGATAAGTCCAAATGTGTTACCAGCAACATAATGGCTGATGGGCGTAAAGCCGTTAATCTACAAAGGATAAGGTAGTTATCCTAAGTACAAATTCCTTGTGTTTGCGCAACCGTCGGTAAAGACGGGATTAGTATTTATTGTTTCTGCCATCAGTAGACGGCATCCCGCCGAAGGGAGATAGATTAGTTTATTTGAGATAGGGTAACCTTCAGCCACAAGAAAAGGTTAATTTTCTTCATACTTAATTTACCTTATGGTTTTACATTCGTACGTATGTATATCAACGCAATAGTCGATGAGACTACGGGGGTTCATAATAACTATGTCTTTCTCGGCGCTTTGCCAAACGCCATTCTTAATTGTAATGATACTCAGTATATCTTATGGGTTTACATTCGTACGTATGTACACCAAAGCTCAAGTCGATGGGACTACGGGGGTCCATAATAAATATGTTTTTCTTGGCGCAATACCAAACGCCACGCTTGATGGTAGTGATACTCGGTATACCTTATGCTTTTATATTCATACGCATGTATACCAAAGCTAGAGACGATGAGGCTACGGAGGCCCATAATAACTATGTTTCTTGGCGCATACCCAAACGCCATGTTCGATTGTGATTGACATACTTGGTACATTTTATGGTTTTACCTTCATACATATGTATGCCATAGGGCAAGTCGGTAGAAATATGGGGGACCATAATACATAGTATCTTCTGGGATATCTCAGCGATAGTTTGTCCAAATTAAATGAGAATTTGGTGGATAGAAATACGTATCTCGGCATTCTCTATCGAATGGTAGTAACGAGAAAAAACCGATTTTCGACTTCGAAGTGAAAAGTCGAAAATTGGTACCAAATTTGAAGGTTAGAAATGCGTATCTCGACATTCTCTATCGAATGGTGGTAACGAGAAAAAACCGATTTTCGACTTCAGTAAAAAGTCCAAAATCGATATCAAATTTGTAGGTTAGAAAAAAGTCGAAAATGGGTACCAAATTTGATGGTTAGAAATGCGTATCTCGACATTCTCTATCGAATGGTGGTACCGAGAAAAAACCGATTTTCGACTTCGAAGTGAAAAGTCGAAAATGGGTACCAAATTTGATGGTTAGAAATGCGTATCTCGACATTCTCTATCGAATGGTGGTAACGAGAAAAAACCGATTTTCGACATCAGTGAAAACTCGAAAATCGATAACAAATTTGTAGGTTAGAAATACGTATCTCGGCATGCTCTATCGAATGGTAGTACCGAGAAAAAACCGATTTTCGACTTCGAAGTGAAAAGTCGAAAAT